CCCTGATGAAATAGTCCATTTCAAAAAGAAATGTTTCCGTGGCACCAGCTAGGAGTAGTGATTATGTTTGTGTACCTCACCAAGGTGTGCTGGGCGCTGTACAGAACAAACAGAAGGACATGCTCCCTGGCCCAGATAGCTTATGCTCTAATTTTAGACATGATCAGTGGGGTAACAGGCTCTTAGGGGAGGACTGGGGGAAGAAGGACAACAGTGATAAGATCATGTGGTTACTCAGTGCAGGCAAGTGCCCATCATGGTGCTCAGTAACAAGCCACTGGTGAGAAAGATAATGTTGGAGCTGGAAGCAAATTTGCTGACAATCAAACCATCATCTTGGTGTAAAACGTTTCCCTCCACAAACAACAGGCTTTTTAGCAGCAGAAATAATCATGTGTTGTCCTTGGCTTGAATCTGTGAAGCCTTGTGCAAAAGCCACCTTTTGCATGTGAAACTTACTTTAGATGAAATTCATCTCTGTACAAACAGCCAAAATGTCTGGGGCTGGATTCCCACTTAGGCATCATAATAAGGGCCACACTTTCATAGAATATCAGGGTTGGAAGGGGCCTCAGGAGGTCATCTAGTCCAACCCCCTGCTCAAAGCAGGGCCAATCCCCAACTAAGAGTATGTCTACACTACGAAATTAGGTCGAATTTATAGAAGATGATTTTTTAGAAATCAGTTTTATATATTCGAGTGTGTGTGTCCCCACAGAAAATGCTCTAAGAAAATGCATTAACTCGGTGGAGTGCTTCCACAGTACCGAGGCTAGAGTCGACTTCCAGAGCGTTGCACTGTGGGTAGCTATCCCACAGTTCCCGCAGTCTCTGCTGCCCATTGGAATTCTGGGTTGAGATCCCAATGCCTGATGGGGCTAAAACATTGTCGCGGGTGGTTCTGGGTACATATCGTCAGGCACCCGTTCCCTCCCTCCCTCCATGAAAGCAAGGGCAGACAATCGTTTCACGCCTTTTTTCCTGAGTTACCTGTGCAGACGCCATAACATGGCAAGCATGGAGCCCGCTCAGCTCACTGTCACCGTATGTCTCCTGGGTGCTGGCAGATGCGGTACTGCATTGCTACACAGTAGCAGCAACCCATTGCCTTGTGGCAGCAGATGGTACAATACGACTGGTAGCTGTCATCATCACGTCCGAGGTGCTCCTGGCCACGGCGGCCAGGAGTGCCTGGGCAGACATGGGCGCAGGGACTAAATTTGGAGTGACTTGACCAGGTCATTCTCTTTAGTCCTGCAGTCAGTCCTATTGAACCATCTTATGGTGAGCAGGCAGGCGATATGGATTGCTAGCAGTCCTACTGCACCGTCTTCTGCCGAGCCGCCATGAGATGTGGATAGCTTGCAGTACTTCTGCACTGTCTGCTGCCAGCCAAAGATGTAAAAGATAGATGGAATGGATCAAAACAAGAAATAGACCAGATTTGTTTTGTACTCATTTGCCTCCTCCCCCATCTAGGGGACTCATTCCTCTAGGTCACACTGCAGTCACTCACAGGGAAGGTGCAGCGAGGTAAATCTAGCCGTGTATCAATCAGAGGCCAGACTAACCTCCTTGTTCCAATAAGGACAATAACTTAGGTGCACCATTTCTTATTGGAACCCTCCGTGAAGTCCTGCCTGAAATACTCCTTGATGTAAAGCCACCCCCTTTGTTGATTTTAGCTCCCTGAAGCCAACCCTGTAAGCCGTGTCGTCAGTCGCCCCTCCCTCCGTCAGAGCAATGGCAGACAATCGTTCCACGCCTTTTTTCTGTGCGGACGCCATACAAAGGCGAGCATGGAGGCCGCTCAGCTCACTTTGGCAATTAGGAGCACATTCAACACCACACACATTATCCAGTGGTATATGCAGCACCAGAACCTGGCAGAGCGATACCGGGCGAGGAGGTGACGTCAGCACGGTCACGTGAGTGATCAGGACATGGACACAGATTTCTCTGAAAGCATGGGCCCTTCCAATGCATGCATCATGGTGCTAATGGGGCAGGTTCATGCTGTGGGATGCCGATTCTGAGCTCAGGAAACAAGCACAGAGTGGTGGGACCGCATAGTGTTGCGGGTCTGGGACGATTTCCAGTGGCTACGAAACTTTTGCATGCGTAAGTGCACTTTCATGGAACTTTGTGACTTGCTTTCCCCTGCCCTAAAGCGCATGAATACCAAGATGAGAGCAGCCCCCACAGTTGAGAAGCGAGTGGTGATAGCCCTGTGGAAGCTTGCAACGCCAGACAGGTACCGGTCAGTTGGGAATCAATCAAATCTACGGTGGGGACTGCTGTGATGCAAGTAGCCCACACAATCAAAGATCTGCTGATTTCAAGGGTAGTGACCCTGGGAAATGTGCAGGTCATAGTGGATGGCTTTGCTGCAATGGGATTCCTTAATTGTGGTGGGGCCATAGACGGAACCCATATCCCTGTCTTCGCACCGGAGCACCAAGCCGGGGAGTACATAAACCGCAAGGGGTACTTTTCAATAGCGCTGCAAGCTCTGGTAGATCACAAGGGATGTTTCACCAACATCAATGTGGGATGGCCAGGAAAGGTACATGACGCTCGCATCTTCAGAAACTCTGGTCTGTTTCAAAAGCTGCAGGAAAGGACTTTATTCCCAGACCAGAAAAGAACTGTTGGGGATGTTGAAATGCCTATAGTTATCCTTGGGGACCCATCGTGATTGTGTCAAAAGAATAGTAAATATGGCAGGCAACCAGCTTGGCTTAATGGTGAAATCCTAGCAGATCTTAAACATAAAAAAGAAGCTTACAAGAAGTGGAAGGTTGGACAAATGACCAGGGAAGAGTATAAAAATATTGCTCGGGCATGTAGGAATGTTATCAGGAGGGCCAAATCGCACCTGGAGCTGCAGCTAGCAAGAGATGTCAAGAGTAACAAGAAGGGTTTCTTCAGGTATGTTGGCAACAAGAAGAAAGCCAAGGAAGTGTGGGCCCCTTACTGAATGAGGGAGGCAACCTAGTGACAGAGAATGTGGAAAAAGCTGATGTACTCAATGCTTTTTTTGCCTCTGTCTTCACTAACAAGGTCAGCTCCCAGACTGCTGCGCTGGGCATCACAGCATGGGGAGTAGATGGCCAGCCCTCTGTGGAGAAAGAGGTGGTTAGGGACTATTTAGAAAAGCTGGACGTGCACAAGTCCATGGGGCTGGACGAGTTGCATCCGGGAGTGCTAAAGGAATTGGCGGCTGTGATTGCAGAGCCATTGGCCATTATCTTTGAAAACCCTTTGGCGAACGGGGGAAGTCCCAGATGACTGGAAAAAGGCTAATGTAGTGCCAATCTTTAAAAAAGGGAAGAAGGAGGATCCTGGGAACTACAAGCCAGTCAGCCTCACCTCAGTCCCCGGAAAAATCATGCAGCAGGTCCTCAAGGAATCAATCCTGAAGCACTTACATGAAAGGAAAGTGATCAGAAACAGTCAGCATAAATTCACCAAGGGAAGGTCATTCCTGACTAATCTAATCGCCTTCTATGATGAGATTACTGGTTCTGTGGATGAAGGGAAAGCAGTGGATGTATTGTTTCTTGATTTTAGCAAAGCTTTTGACATGGTCTCCCACAGTATTCTTGTCAGCAAGTTAAAGAAGTATGGGCTGGATGAATGCACTATAAGATGGGTAGAAAGCTGGCTAGATTGTCGGGCTCAACGGGTAGTGATCAATGGCTCCATGTCTAGTTGGCAGCCGGTGTCAAGTGGAGTGCCCCAGGGGTCGGTCCTGAGGCCGGTTTTGTTCAATATCTTCATAAATGATCTGGAGGATGGTGTGGATTGCACTCTCAGCAAATTTGCGGATGATACTAAACTGGGAGCAGTGGTAGATATGCTGGAGGGGAGGGATAGGATACAGAGGGACCTAGACAAATTGGAGTATTAGGCCAAAAGAAATCTGATGAGGTTCAATAAGGATAAGTGCAGGGTCCTGCACTTAGGACGGAAGAACCCGTCTACCTGGCCAGTGCATCTGAGTTGAGAGTGCTGTCCAGAGCTGTCACAATGGAGCACTCTGGGATAGCTCCCGGAGGCCAATACCGTCGAATTGTGCCCACAGTACCCCAAATTTGACTCGGCAAGGCCAATTTAAGCGCTAATCCACTTGTCGGGGTGGAGTAAGGAAATTGATTTTAAGAGCCCTTTAAGTCGAAATAAAGGGCTTCATCATGTGGACGGGTGCAGGTTTACATCGATTTAATGCTGCTAAATTTGACCTAAAGTCCTAGTGTAGACCAGGGCTAAATCATCCCAGCCAGGGCTTTGTTAAGCCTGACCTTAAAAACTTCAAAGGAAGGAGATTCCACCACCTCCCTAGGTAACATATTCCAGTGCTTCACCACCCTCCTAGTGAAAGTTTCCTAATATCCAACCTAAACCTCCCCCACTGTAACTTGAGACCATTACTCCTTGGTTTTTTCACCACTGCTTAATCCCCAGTAGTTCCCATTGTGATGCTGATGAACCTTTCAGGCAATCTGCTCAACATATGGACCTAAGGAGTGAGATCTTCCTAAAATCTGGCCATGTATTTTTGGTGGCCAAAACCCACCAGCTGGAAGGGGAAGGAAGAGACAGATGAAAGTTCTGGTTTTCTTCCTTGTGTGATTAAAGCTATTAAATAAATGTATTTAGACATCTGGCAAGGAGGGCTGCAATACACACATACCCACCAGCCAGGCCTTAATTCCAGCTCCTGCCAGACAAGTCTCAGTCAAGGGGAGATGCAGGAATTAGGTTGCAGCACAGTAAAAAGGCTAGGGACAAAGGGAGACAAGGAAAAAAGGAAGGAACAAATGTTTCACTAGCACTGATTCCATTTCTAATCTCCAGGCACCACTACCTTTGGCACCAGCTCTGTGCAGCATCCTCACTGTGAGACAATCCAGGTAATATCTTTAGTACTGCAGTACATGGCTCCCTTCTCCATTCTGGCAGGAGTAGGAATTCTTAAAGACACATTGCCCCCCTACCTGGGGATATCCTTGGTTGGTGACTCGGAGAACATCGAAAGCCACCATGGAGGGGTCTGGAAATGTGATGGTGGTTAAATCAACTGCAGGAGAGGTAGTGGGTTGCGTCTTCATGGCTTCTCTGTGAGGGAAAAGAGTGGTCAGGTATTCTGCAAGACATTTAAAGATGGCAGGTGACTGCTCTGTATCCCTCTGTTTATCCACAAAGCATGGACATGGACTCGCTTCCTGATCTGCTACACTCTGGTAGATAATATTTAGTCACCTTGCCCAGCGAAGTGAGTTAGTGCTTTCTTGGCAGGGTGTTACCTGTGAACAGAGTGCATGTAACATGCAGATTGTGGAAAGGCAATAAAATGTGAAGCCTTCACAGATTTTCATAGTCAAAACAGAATCTTACTTTAATCCCTGCTGCTTCCATTCAAATCTTGGCTCCCCTCAGTAGAGTGTGTACAATACATATCCTGACACTTCCAGCATACCTCTGAAATACGTTCTTGTGCCCATGCTGGCAGCTGCTGGGCCCCTTTGTTCCTCTGTGATTGGCAGGGTGCCTCTTGCCCCCTACTCACCTGTATGCATTAAAGTTGTTCACCACTCTGGCAATGGCTACAGTAGGACCTTGGGGATCTGCTAGAGGATTCTTCATTCCCTGGAGGAAAACCTAAAAGCCAAGGAAAGAGAAAAGTTAATATCAAGCACCAGTGAGCAGACATGGCACCACCTTGGCAGAGGGACAAAGGTGCAGCCTGGGAACACAACAATGCAACCAGCCTAGCATAGAGGAACAGACTGATCCTGGCACAGCTCAAAGGGGACAGAGCTCAGCCAGCCCATGGGAATCGTGAATTGTGCTACATCATGTGCAACAGGGCAGGACTGGAGAAAGCTCCTTTTGGCAGGTATAAACTGTGAAATGAATTTGAGAATAGCTTGTTAGCAGCTCAGAGCTGCCAGTGGGAATCTCTTTTTCTAAGCCCATCTCTGTCCAAGTTGATAGCACAGTGATGTGATACAGACAGCATTGTGACATCATGAGCACTTTCATGGCAAGAGGCTATCCTGTCCTGATTTCAGGATTATGATTTCACTGGCTTGCAGTGCATCAGCATTGCTGCATGCAGGGGCCAGCACTGGAACAGCAGGGGATGCTACCGGGCAGGATGGATGCACATGGGCTGAGCTAGCCAGGAATGGAACAGCAGGGCAGGATTGAGGGGTACAAGCAGAATAGTGGGTGACTGGGCAACAAAATGGCAGATGAAATTCAAGGTTGATAAATGCAAAGTAATTCATGTTGGAAAAATAATTCCAACTATACATAAAAATAAGGGGATCTAAATTAGCTGTTACCACTCAAGAAAGATATATTGGAGTCTTTGTGGATAGTTCTCTGAAAACATCCATTCAATTTGCAGCAGCACTCAAAAAAGCTAAGAGAATGTTAGGAACCATTAGGAAAGGGATAAATAAGACAGAAAATATAATGCCACTATATAAATCCAAGGTATACCCACACCTTTAATACTTTTTTGAGATGGGATGACCAGAACTTTATGCAGTATTCGACTGGAAAAGGTTCAGAGAAGAGCAACAAAAAATGGATTAATGGTATGAAACAGCTTCCATATGAGGTGAAATTTAAAAGACTGAAATTTTTCAGACTGGAAGAGAGGGGGGTGGGAAGGGGGAGAACATGATAGAGGTCTATAAAATCATGACTGGGGTGTAGAAAGTTTGCCTGGGATCTGCCTGAGAGGAGGTATGCTAAGGCCTGCATTAAGGAGGCTGTGTTGGTGAGTATCTGAGTGTCTGTTGTGGGGACAGTTTGACCGTGCGCTTGATTGGTTGTTTGAAAAGTGTGAATTGGGAGTCCTTTGTTCCAGGTGAGCCTTGAGTGGGCCTGACTGTTCCAAAAAGCCAGTCAGTCAGCTGCGAACCAGCTGAATGGCTAACAGCAGAGAAGCTAACAGAGGGAGTTTGCCTGGGAGTTCACTTGGGGAGAGCCCACTGAGGCTTATATCTTGCTGGCTTCTCTGAGTAGTTACTACAACTCCTGAGGAAGCTTGTAGAAGGAAGGTAATATGGATGGGGAGTGTTCAGCTGTTGTGACCTGCACTGGATGTGCCATGTTTGTCTTTCTTCGACAGGACAGAAGCGACTTTGTCTGTACAAAGTGCAAGCTGGTTTCCATATTGGAAGAGAAGATTCAAGATCTGGAGCAACAGGTATCGACCTTGCGTTGCGTAAGTGAAACTGAAGATTTCCTGGACAGATGTCAGGATACGCTTCTATGGACACAACATGCTGAAGATTCAGAGCAGGCTGCACTGTGCGGACAGGAGGACGGTGAAGAAATTTGGCAACATGTGACCTCCAGAAGAAGAAAAGGGAGCGTCCATGTACCAGCAACACAGATACAGATAAGTAACCATTTTCATGTTCTCTCCACAGGTACTAATGCAGAGAGTGGACGAGAGGATACATCTGAGGGAAGAGTCTCCTGTTCCCTGCCGATTGGAAGGCATGAGATGCCCTGTCCTAGGGATGGGGGTTCCACGACCACCGCTCCCAAGAGAAGGAGGCGGGTGGTGCTGGTCGGGGACTCTCTCCCCTCAGGGGGACTGAGTCATCTATCTGCTGCCCCGACCTGGAAAACAGAGAAGTCTGCTGCTTGCCAGGAGCTAGGATTCATGATGTGACAGAGAGACTGCCGAGACTCAAGCCCTTGGATTGCTACCCCTTCCTGCTTCTCCACATGGGCACCAAATGATACTGCCAAGAATGACCTTGAGTGGATCACTGCGGACTACATGGCTCTGGGAAGAAGGATAAAGGAGTTTGAGGCGCAAGTGGTGTTCTCGTCCATCCTCCCCATGGAAGGAAAAGGCCTGGGTAGAGACCGTCAAATCGTGTAAGTCAACGAATGGCTACGCAGGTGGTGTCGGAGAGAAGGCTTTGGATTCTTTGACCATGGGGATGGTGTTCCAAGAAGGAGGAGTGCTAGGTAGAGACGGGCTCCACCTAACGAAGAGAGGGAAGAGAATCTTGGCAAGCAGGGTGGCTAACCTAGTGAGGAGGGCTTTAAACTAGGTTCACCGGGGGAAGGAGACCAAAGCCTAGAGGTAAGTGGGGACGAGGGATACCAGGAGGAAGCATGAGCTGGAGAGTGCAAGACGGAAGGACTCCTGCCTCATACTAAGAAAGAGGGACGATCAGCGACTTCTCTCAAGTGCCTATACACGAATGCAAGAAGCCTGGGAAACAAGCAGGGAGAACTGGAAGTCCTGGCAGTCAAGGAATTATAATGTGATTGGAATAACAGAGACTTGGTGGGATAACTCACATGACTGAAGTACTGTCATGGATGGATATAAACTGTTCAGGAAGGACAGGCAGGGCAGAAAAGGTGGGGGAGTTGCATCGTATGTAAGGGAGCAGGAGGACATACTTCAGAGCTCAAGTATGAAACTGCAGAAAAACCTGAGAGTCTCTGGATTAAGTTTAGAAGCATGAGCAACAAGGGTGATGTTGTGGTGGGAGTCTGCTATAGACCACTGGACCAGGGGGATGAGGCTTTCTTCCGGCAACTATGGGCATTACTAGATAGCAGGCCCTGGTCCTTGTGGGAGACTTCAATCACCCTGATATCTGCTGGGAGAGCAATGCAGGAAGTATAGGGGACAATTTCCTGGTGCAAGTGGGGGGAGGAACTAACTAGGGGCAGAGCTCTTCACCTGCTGCTCACAAACCGGGAAGAATTAGGAGGGGAAGCAAAAGTGGATGGGAACCTGGGAGGCAGTGACCATGAGATGGTCGAGTTCAGGATCCTGACACAGGGAAGAAAGGAGAGCAGCAGAATACGGACCCTGGACTTCAGAAAAGCAGACTTTGACTCCCTCAGGGAACTGATGGGCAGGATCCCCTGGGAGAATAACATGACGGGGAAAGGAGTCCAGGAGAGCTGGCTGTATTTTAAAGAATCCTTCTTGAGGTTACAGGGACAAACCATCCCAATGTGTAGAAAGAACAGTAAATATGGCAGGCGACCAGCTTGGCTTCACAGTGAAATCCTTGCTGATCTTAAACACAAAAAAGAAGCTTTTTTGTCTCTGTCTTCATGAACAAGGACAGCTCCCAGACTATTGTACTGGGCAGCACAGCATGGAGGAGGTGACCAGCCCTCTGGAGAAAGAACTCATTTGGGACTATTCAGAAAAGCTGGATGAGCACAAGTCCATGGGTCCGGATGCACTGCATCCGCCAAGTCCTTTAGCGCTCTCGGATGTGATTGCAGAGCCATTGGCCATTATCTTTGAAAACTCATGACAATCGGGGGAAGTCCTGGATGACTGGAAAAAGGCCAACGTAGTGCCCATCCTTAAAAAAGGGAAGGGGGAGGATCTGGGGAACTACAGGCCAGTCAGCCTCACCTCAGTCCCCGGAAAAATCATGCAGCAGGTCCTCAAGAAATCAATCCTGAAGCACTTACATGAGAGGAAAGTAATCAGGAACAGTCAGAATGGATTCACCAAGGGAAGGTCATGCCTGACTAATCTAATCGCCTTCTATGATGAGATTACTGGTTCTGTGGATGAAGGGAAAACAGTGGATGTATTGTTTCTTGATTTTAGCAAAGCTTTTGACATGGTCTCCCACAGTATTCTTGTCAGCAAGTTAAAGAAGTATGGGCTGGATGAATGCACTCTAAGGTAGGTAGAAAGTTGGCTAGATTGTCGGGCTCAACGAGTAGTGATCAATGGCTTCATGTCTAGTTGGCAGCCGGTGTCAAGTGGAGTGCCCCAGGGGTCAGTCCTGGGGCTGGTTTTGTTCAATATTTTCATAAATGATCTGGAGGATGGTATGGATTGCACTCTCAGCAAATTTGCGGATGATACTAAACTGGGAGGAGTGGTAGATACGCTGGAGGGGAGGGATAGGATACAGAGGGACCTAGACAAATTGGAGTATTGGGCCAAAAGAAATCTGATGAGGTTCAATAAGGATAAGTGCAGGGTCCTGCACTTAGGACGGAAGAACCCAATGCACCACTACAGACTAGAGACCGAATGGCTAGGCAGCAGTTCTGCAGAAAAGGACCTAGGGGTGACAGTGGACGAGAAGCTGGATATGAGTCAGCAGTGTGCCCTTGTTGCCAAGAAGGCCAATGGCATTTTGGGATGTATGAGTAGGGTCATAGCGAGCAGATCGAGGGACGTGATCGTCCCCCTCTATTTGACATTGGTGAGGCCTCATCTGGAGTACTGTGTCTAGTTTTGGACCCCACACTATAAGAAGGATGTGGATAAATTGGAGAGAGTCCAGCGAAGGGCAACAAAAATGATTAGGGGACTGGAACACATGACTTCTGAGGAGAGGCTGAGGGAACTGGGATTGTTTAGTCTGCAGAAGAGAAGAATGAGGGGGATTTGATAGCTGCTTTCAACTACCTGAGAGGTGGTTCCAGAGAGGATGGTTCTAGACTATTCTCAGTGGTAGAAGAGGACAGGACAAGGAGTAATGGTCTCCAGTTGCAGTGGGGGAGGTTTAGGTTGGATGTTAGGAAAAAGTTTTTCACTAGGAGGGTGGTGAAGCACTGGAATGCGTTACCTAGGGAGGTGGTAGAATCTCCTTCCTGAGAAGTTTTTATGGTCAGGCTTGACAAAGCCCTGGCTGGGATGATTGAATTGGGGATTGGTCCTGCTTTGAGCAGGGGGTTGGACTAGATGACCTCCTGAGGTCCCTTCCAACCCTGATATTCTATGATAAAAGAAGCATCAAACTCAAATCTTTGACCAAAAACCTCAAACTGAACTAAACTCAACATTAGGAAAACTTCATATAACATAAGTAAAAGGCATTTTTAAGCAGTTAACTGCCTCTTATCTTCCAAGCTCTGGACAGGACCAGAGACACCAATATAGAATTCTATTTTATTCTATATAGGGTTTTATGCCACCACATCACTGTAGCATCTGAGCACCTTGTATTAAGGTGATGTGACTCACATCTGTCATGTGTCGTTTACTCCCCTCCATCCTTTCCCCTGGGGGAGAACTGGGTGTGCAGTGGAGTGTTTTGGTAGGGTTTTTAATATTTGGACATGCCACTCTGTGTTTATACCAGAGCAGGCAAGAATGAAGATGTGCACCTGGTCCTTGAAGAGGAAGGTGGTGAGGTTTACGCTGGTCCTTAGAAAGGCCTGTTCTCCAGGTATTTCTAGCTTAGCTGGAGAAAAGAAGAATGGTGATATCTATGCTGAAGGCTACCTGCTAACTGCAGCCTACTCTCCTTGTGAGATCTCGGTCCCTCAGGAGGCTCCCATATATATATTATATATATAAAATAAATATACTGTTATATTAGCTAGAAAGTTAATCATACCTGTGGTGGTTATTAACAGGTCTCACTGAAAGATCAGATAGTTTGAAGATAACTTAGATTTTAGTCATTCAGCTAAACCATACCTTATGAGGGTTGCTAATTGCTACTAATGCACAGACACCTTGCTCCTATTGTGGGCCAAGCTGGCATCCCTCCTCAGCACCATCCATCCCTCTCCTATTTCCCGGCACAGGCCTTACCTCCAAGCCGGTGTAATTCATTCCAACATAACGTGGGATGAGGCTGCCTTTACGAACAACCGTAGCGTATAGACTTGTCCCCAAGGGGTCCTTCTTCCTTGGCTGTTTGAGGAGAAGACAAAACCACAGTGTAGAATGAGTGCCAGACTATAAAACAGGAAGCGTTGTGTATATAAACGGTCTGGGCTGCGGTGTGGTGGCACAGAGCTGTCATAACTGACAATAAAGCAGCAAGTGATAATTAAAGCTCACTGTCCTCGGGAGCCTTTCCAGTAAGATCAATATAATAAATCGTTCTGCTTTTGTATTTAAATATTTAATAATCTGCATACACAATGGCCACTGGCTTCCTGATCCTTCTTGGGATGGCGGGGAGAAATGGAGAAGAGGAAACACACTTGTATCAGCTGATAAGGGTGTGAATTTTTGGCTGGAGCAAAGTGATTTTGTCAGGCCTCTGTTCCACCTAGCGTTACCTGTGAAACTTAATTGGGACCTTCCTGCCAGTCATTCAAACAATGAAGCATGGCACCCACATTTTTATGTTTTGTATTTTTCTGACAGTCTTCAATGGGTCTGAAAACGGGAACAAGGCTCATTTGAGAGGAAAACAGGATGATCCCTTGATGGCTGTGTAAATATCTGATATTTCAGAAGATGCAACTTTAACTCACAAAAAATGGCTAGGCTTGTGCCAGGCTAGTCTTTCTGGAGCTGGGCATCTCGTGGTTAGGGTGTAGAACAAGCACAGTCCATCAGAGTGCCAGCCCCAGTTCTGATACTCACTAGCTATGTGACCTTGGGCAAGGTTACTTACAATAATCTCTCCAGGCACATACACAGCAGAGCTATCTGGCCCTTACAACAAGGTTGTTGTACACTGTACACCAGGCATCCACAAATGATCCCAGAAGTGCACGGGCAATGTCACCATCATGCATATTAGTCCTGCTTTGAGTAAGGCTAACCACTATGTGGCTTTTCTCTGTGCCAGTCCCCACCATTAGAGCACCAGGGTGAACAGAGATCGCTGGCATAACAGACCCAGTGATGCAAACAGTCCTCTCACTGCTGCAATAAGTAATCTTTGTTAGCCCAGTTACTGCTACCCTCACATGCTGAGTCCCTTAATTGCCCCATCCTCACAATAATCTAGCAACCCTCCTTATCCTGTACCTTCCTGGGAATTCTAACTGTATGCCCTCAACATCTCTGGTCCAAAACCAAATGCCCGGCAGGAAAGCACAGAAATTTGCCAAGCTACAGAAGTTGTTACCTTTATTTCCGCCCTTGAAATTTCAAAGGATGGATGTGCTACTGATGTAGCTATGAACCCAATTCTGATTTTAATTCTAGCGGACATCTCAGAGCAGGCTTGGGGCAGGTTGAAAGGTTCTAAAGATTCTGACAAACTTGAGATCCAGAAAAAGAGAGAAAGATCTTCTTGACTATGCTAAGGGGAACAAGAGGGACTCAGATCAATGTTCCAGTTCGAGGAGGAAAACGAGGTCCTCTTTTGTCCCTGGAAGATAATAATCTGACTGCCCTTGATGGTGTAAATGAATAACCCTATTTTGATACTGCAACTGGCGTACGTGCATGAGACAAAGTAAATCGAAAGAAGAGGTCTCAGCAGAATGTGCAGATCAGTCACGCTGTTCTTTAATAGCTATACCACAACAATTTACTCCTCCCTAAACTCCACCATAACTAATAGAGGTCATTAATCAATCATGAGAAAAACCAATGCAGAAAACTAATCCCTATGTAAACTCACCACCACAGAGCACATAAAGGTACCTCTTGGCAGCACCTGCTAATAGTTATTACTCCATCGATACGCCCACCCTATTGCACGACAGCAAAGTCACTCACTATGTAAATTAGGAGAATGGCATACAGAATAACAGTCATGGTTTTTCACAGACAGAGAAACTCACTAACACAGCAATAAACAGCTCCTAATGCTGTTCAGTGGGGACAAAGTCCCACGCTGCCACTCTTGAAAAATGTAGAGCTTTTAAAAATGCTCCAGTCATGCACTTTGTCTGGCCACTCTAAGCACTATATTTTAGCTTTGTTTACTGCAAAATATCAGCTGGAAACATGCAAAGGAGCCAACCACAAAGGACCAGCTCTCCATGGATCCCCAGCGAGTTCTCTGTAAACCTGTTTGAGAACCTGTGTCTACAAACACGGGATGCAGAAGACCTGGGCTCTAGTCTTGACTCTGCCATTGGTCTGCTGAGTGACCTTGGGCAATTAGCTCCCCTCTCTGTGCCTCAGTTTCCCTATCTGTAAAATGAGAAGGATGCTGACCTCCTCCATAAAGCTCTTTGTGATCTAATGATGAGAGCTAGGGATTATTTAATTAATATTCATAAAGCCCTTTGGGGTCCTTGGAAGGACAGCACTAGGAAGGGGTAGAGTGCTGGGATTTGCTTGCACCGTTGTAAACCTCAGCCTCACCTGTGTTCTTGTCTCCCAGGAGACCAAGTTAGAAAGGACACTTCATAGTTTGATGTCATTTTTCCATTATTTCCTAACGCACCCATTTCCACAAGAACCCCCCCCCCCCAAATCATTTCTCTCTTTCAAAGAGGCCCCAGGAGCGCTTTTTTTGCTGGTTTCCTTTAGTGCATTCTCCAACTTGTGAGACTTTGAAAATCCTAAATTGCTTCCCAGTGGGGATTACAATTGTTACACAACCTGACCTCAGCCAACTGAAACTAAGCAAATTTTGGCAAGTCTGTTTGTTTACGAGCCTGGAATTAGATACCATGGGATATGTGCAGCGTAAGTTTATGATTGCTAATTTTTATTATTTGTATTGCGGTAAGCCCCAGGAGCCCATCACGGACCATGACCCCATTGTGCTAGGAGCTGCGCAAACACAGAACAAAAGACAGTCCCTGCCCCAAAAAGCTGCCAATCTAAGTATAAGACAAGGCACACCAGGTGGAGACTGACAGACAGCCTGCCTGCCCGCCCGATGGATGAATGGAGTGGCAGTGAAACAATTTGACTCCCCCATACCCACATGTCTCAGGGTGCAAATTAGTTGGCCAATGCTCACCAGCACCAGTCTCAAGTGGTAGTGGTGGAACGATCGGAGATACCTCACCGGAATCTTGTAGCTCACTAGCACCTCCTTGGTGATTTTGTCGGCCACAGTCAGGTTCACAGCTGGAAGGGAAAGAGCAGGAATACACATCAGCAAGTACTTGGGGGAGGCTTAGAACTACTCCAAACACCATCCTTGGTCAACAATGTGAAGACAAGAGGCCAGATTCACCCCAGAATCTGGCATCACTAGAGGAGGCAGCAGAAAGTCTGCCAGGACGTGGAGGGGTTATGGTGCTGCAAGCAGCTGCAACTGCCTCTCCACCAAGAGGAGTAAAGGGGGCCAGCCCTGCTCCAAAAGGGGTGGTCAGGAAGGAAGGGGTGTATCCACGGGGGCTGGGAGATGTCCTGATTCTGCGCATCTCCGCAGCAGCCTTCACTAACCAGGCTCCTATAGAGTCCTGTGTAGCGAAGTCAATGACTCACTGACATGGCACCTCCTCCTGGTCCTCTGAGAATTAGCTCTTTTCCAGCATATGGAGCACCCTCTGCAGGCTGGTGTCTTGCCTGACGCTGGCCCCCTGTCCCTCCCAGACCCTGATGCCCTTCGTCTCAGGGCTCTGCCCCAGCAGTACCCCCTTGCTCTGGGTGTCCCCTCCCTGGGGAACCCCCAACCCTCTAAACCCAGCTTTTCTCAGTGGCTACTGCCAGTCATCATCAAACCCCCATTCACTGGAGCAGACTGCTGTGTAATGGCCACTCATCATTGGCAAGGGGTTAGGACCAGCTGCCTCTTCCTATTCCCAGGCTGCCCTCTACAGCCCCAGTACCTTTGTAGGCCTTCATCAAGGCCTGCAGCCTGGGGGTTGACCAGGCTGTAGGCCTTCATCAAGGCCTGCAGCCTGGGGGTTGACCAGGCTGGAGCTCCCCAGCTCCCTTTGCCCTTCCCCAGCACAGCTCCACCTCAGGTACCTTACCCCCAGGCAGCTAGCCCTTCCCACTCCAGGACTAGAGTGAAACTCTTTCAGCTTCTGGCTCACAGGCCTCTTATAGGGCCAGTTGTGGCCTGACTGGGGCATGGCCCCAGCTGTGGCTGCTTCCCCCCAATCAGCCTAGCTTTTCCCAGCCACAGCCCTCTCCAGGGCTGCTTTTACTATTGGCTCCCCCAAGCAGCCCTCTCCCAGAGCAGTTTTAACCCCTTCAGGGCCAGAGTAGGGTGACCACCCCGCTACACCCTGTCTGTGACCAACCTGCTCCCCACCTCGATCAGACAATCCCTGAGAGAGGTTGGCAGTGCCACCATCTACCCTTCCCTCAGGAGAATACCCCAAGGGCACACTGGCCCAGATTGAGGCATTGGCTTTAATGGATCTAACCCCTGTGGGTTAAACAATACTGAGAAGCAACAAAGTCCATATTCTAGGTTTGTCAGAGAGGCCTGACCCTGAAGCACTTGAAAAGCTGGTACAAATGTGGTTTAGATTTCTTTTTGAGAATATAGGATTTGCCTTGATCCATCTAATCTGCCTCCTTGTCTCTGGCATCTAGACAACCATGCAGTCCTCTACGTGAAGTGGGGAAGAATTCCTTCCTGAACCTCCCAGGTGATCAGCTTATACCTTGAAGCATGAGCAGAGTACAAGCAGCCAGCCACAGGGTTCTGCCTGCCAATTGGAAGCGTCTTTGCACAGGCTTGGAACAGACTGAAGCAGAGGTTGCTACCAATAGCTGGCAGAGGAACAAGCCATGAAAGTACACATCCGGTGGCCTTATACTCACCTGCCACTGGTGCATGGGAGCAGCTGCTATTCCAACCTAAAGGACATACAGCTTGTCTGCACCACAGGGAGGTGGATTTTTCACCTTCAGTGCTGGAGCAGCAGCCCTTGGAATGAAGCCCTCTCTTTAGGCACATAACTGGTGCTGTTGGGTAGCCACAGGCGCCCCTCACACCATCTCTCCAGTAAACCTCACTCCTGATCATCTCTGTGACAGAGAGGTCCATTCATTCCCCAGGCACATTCATCCCCTGGGCCTCTCCATTAGGATGCAACGGCCTGATGTTATTCACCACAGGGTGCTGAAGGAGTTAGCTGAAGAAATCTCAGAGCTTCTGGCAATCATTTGCAAACTCATGGATGACAGGAGAGGTCCCCGGACATTGGAGAAAGCTAACATAGTGCCCATCTTTAAAAAGGGGGGAAGGAGGAGCCAGGGAACAAACTATAGACCAGTCAGCCTTACCTCAATACCTGGGAAGCTACTAGAGCAATGGAGGATGGAGGGGTGATCACTACCAGCCAGCATGGATTTACTAAGAACAAATCATGCCAAACCAGCTTGATTTCCTTCTTTGGCAGAGTAACTGGTTTGGTGGATGGGGGAATGCGGTGGACATAACATACTCAGACTTCAGCAAGGCTTTTGTCACAGTCCCACAGAATATTCTGATAAGTAAGTTGGAGAAATGCGGGCTTGGTGGAATTACCATTAAATGGATACATAATTGATTAAACAACCACAAACCAAGAGTCACTATTACTGGAATGATGTCAGAGTGGAAGGAGGTCTCAAGTGGGGTTCCATGAGGGGTCTGATGTGGGTCTGGTGTTATTTAACATCTTTATTAATGACCCGGATGTAGGCATAGAGAACATACTGATCAAATTTGCAGATGACACAAAGCTGGGGGGGGGGTTGCCCACACTTTGGACAGTAGAGCTAAAATTCAAAGGGATCTTGATAAATTGGAAAACTGGGTTATAGACAACAAAATGAAATTCACCAAAGACACATGTAAGGTGCTACACTTGGGGAAGAAAAACCAAATGCACAAATACAGAATGGGTGAAAACTGGCTTGGCAGCAGCACTGCTAAGAAGAATCTGGGAGATGTGGTGGATCACAACCTCAACATGAGTCAGCAATGCAATGCTGTAGCAAAAAAAGCAAATGCAATTTTCAGTTGCACTAATTGAGGCATGGCATGCAAGTCACGGAAGTGATAGTACCCTCTACTCAGTGCTGGTTAGGACTCAGCTGGAGTACTGTGTCCAGTTTTGGTCACCAATGTATAGAAAGGATGCAGAAAAACTGGGAAGGATCCAAAGGGGAGTGACAAAGATGATCAGAGGTATGGAACACAAGCCGATTGAGCAAAGGCTGAAGGAACTGGGTTTTCAGTTTGGAAAAGAGGAGATTAAGGGGGGATATGAAGGCTGGCATAAAAAAAGTGGAGAAAAGTTGTTCTTTTTTACCACAGAGGGCAGAACAAGGGACAATGGGTTCAAACTACAGCCTAGCAGATATAGATTAAATCTGAGGAAAAAATCCTAACTGTAAACACAGTAGGACAATGGAACAGACTGCCTAGGGAGGTCATGGAAGCTCTTTCACTGGAGGTTTTCAAAAGGAGGCTGGGTAGCCATCTGTCTTGGATGGTTTAGACACAACAAATCCTGCATCTTGACTAGATGACCCTTGTGGTCCCTTCTGCCTCTACAGTTCCATGATTCTCTGGTTATAACAATACTTGCCTTGCACTAGTGCAGGGATGGGCAAACTTTTTGGTCCGAGGGCCACATTGGGGAATAGAAATTGTATGGTAGGCCATGAATGCTCACAAAATTGGCGTTGGGGTGTGGGAGGGGGTGCAGGCTCTGGGGATGAGGAGTTTGGGGTGTAGGAGGGTGCTCTGTGCTGGGACCGAGGGGTTCAGAGGGCAGGAGGGGGATCAGGGCTGGGGCAGGGGTGCAGGAAGGGGTGCAGGTTCCAGCTGGAGGTGAAGGCTCTGGGGTGGGGTGGGGGATAAGAGTTTTGGTGTGCAGGCTGGTCCTCCGGGCTGTGATCAAGGGGTTTGAAGAGCGGGAGGGGGATCAGGGTTGGGGCAGAGGGTTAGGGTATGGGGAGAGGCTCAGGGGATGCAGGCTTACCTCAAGCAGCTCCCTTCTCCGGCTCCTATGCAGAGGCGCAGCCAGGCAGCTCTGCATGCTGCCCCATCTGCAGGCAATGCCCCTGCAGCTCCCACTGGAGCATGTAGGAGCCAGAGCGGGGCCATGCTGCGGCTTCCAGGAGCCATGTGGTGCAGCACCCGACCAAGCACCCTGGCTGGAGCAGGGCCAAGCCACGTGGTCCGGCCCCTGACCCAATGCCCTGGCTGGAGCACCGGAGTGGGGCTGAGCTGCGTGGTCTGGCCCCCACCCAGCACCTCTGCTGGAGTGCTGGAGCGGGGCCAAGCGGCATGGTGTGGCTCGCAGGCCGGCTTAAAACGGCTCACAGGCCGGGAAGTAGTTTGTCCACCCCTGTCCACCGCCTTTCACCTTGGATGTTCCAAAAGTGCTCTGAAGTTATACATCAGCCACCCAGCTCCTACTTGGTAAGGGAAGCAGGCCTCTTCCTGCATAGCTGGACTACAGTTTTAAACATTGTTAGGAGGGGACTTGACTTTGCCCAGAAAAATAGGTATTTGCAGGGCTAGCAGGCAGTGTAGGGATGCAGAATAGAATTACCTACCCTGGAACTGGGTCAGGATTCAACAGCTCAACTCTTTGAAACAGCACGTGGGCGTATTTTAGGGTGATCAGTGCTCAGGGCCTGTTTTATGTCACAGCCAAAAGTCAGCACTTCAGACAACACAATACCCCACTGGGGCACTGGACAATGCTGATTCAGAGGGAAGAGTGCCATCAACACTAGGTTCACCGGGGGAAGGAGACCAAAGCCCTGAGGTAAGTGGGGACATGGGATACCGGGAGGAAACACGAGCAGGAGAGCGTGAGAGGGGAGGGCTCCTGCCTCATACTAAGAAAGCAGGACAAACAGCAAGTTATCTCAAGTGCCTATACACAAATGCAAGAAACCTGGGAAACATGCAGGGAGAACTGGAAGTCCTGGCACAGTCAAGGAATTATGATGTGATTGGAATAACAGAGACTTGGTGGGATAACTCACATGACTGGAGTACTGTCATGGATGGATATAAACTGTTCAGGAAGGACAGACAAGGCAGAAAAGGTGGGGAAGTTGCATCGTATGTAAGGGAGCAGGAGGACATACTTCAGAGCTCAAGTATGAAACTGCAGAAAAACCTGAGAGTCTCTGGATTAAGTTTAGAAGCGTGAGCA